AGAAATGGCTATTGTATCTCTCATTTTATTTTTTTCCTCTATTAAATTTCCTCAATCTAAATTGTATGTTACCTATTCATTCAATCAATAAATATGTACTGAATGTTGCATACATCTCGAATTCTACACAAAGCATGGTAGAAGATAAAGAGAGACCTTATTACTCTCTTTGAAGAATTTGTGGTAGGTATTCACATAACTGAGAAAAAAAAGTCTAATAACCATGACAAATTGATTTTCCAATTGTTTGGGCTACTCCTGAGACCTGTGTGTGATGAGTAAATGAAGTCTAAAATCTCCAATGCTGTACATCTATTCATTGTTGAAAGAAATAGGATTTTAAAAATTGATTTAACTATCATATCCATACTGGGAAAATCACTATATTGAAGTACCCAAGAGAACCCCATCTGGTCCATACTCTGATGAAATTTTATAAGGAAATAATTGGATTATAGGGAAAATTTTCATTAAAATATAGTGGATAGAGATAGATAGATAGATAGATAGATAGATAGATAGATAGATAGATAGATAGATAGAGACAAGTTTCCAATCTATTCATGGTTCATTTTATATTATAACATTAATTCAGTATTTATTTTATTTGTCTGAAATTAGTAAGAACACATTTCTAAACTTCTAATAAAAGATAATGGGATAAGATGACACAATTCCAATTTCGATGTAGCCTCCTATAGTATACATTTAGAATTTCTAGAAATGTAATGTGATGTGGTAGACAGGGAGAAAGCTTCAATTTAGGCAGCCTTGGGGTCAACACATAATAGCTATTCTACTCTGGGAAAGTCACCTAATCTAATTTCCTTCTGTTCTTCTCTAAGGGTATACATTGCACAAAATGTCCTGACCTCTATTTGTCCAGGGAGTTCACTTAACCTAATATTGCCTTACCTCAAATGTTTGCAGTGAGAATTAAATAAGTTAATATATGCAAAGTTTTCTGTAAACCTTACAGTACTGTAAAAGTAGTCAGTATTACATTCACTCATTCTTCGCTGACATTGGAAAGAGAAAAAAAATGATGCCCTTAATCACAAGTATAATAAGCTAGTAATTCTGTATACTTTAAGATTCACCACCTATAGGAGTGATTTCTCATGAGACAAAATAAGTGAAAGGGAGAGTCCCACAACAGTTGGTTTTAAGCAGTTCCTTGTATTTTTTTTTCCTTTGACCTCATCATCCTTCCCCCTTAAAAGCACTAGATGGTCTTCCAGTGGGACATAGCCTTTCCTTTCCAATCATTGTAAACATTGTACTTTGTAACAGATAGATGAGATAGATAGATAGATAGATAGATAGATACATACATACATACATACTTACATACATACATGAATACATGCAGACATACATAGAGAGACAAAAAGACATAGATGAAAGATAGATACAGTATGTATTAAGAGCTCATTATTTTAGTACATATGCTTTATAGTATAAGATTGCTAATATTTTATTTAAAACAAACTGTAACGTATGGTTGTGTATGCATTTAAAAGATCACAAATCTTTTCTTGGAGGAAAGGGAGGAAATTTCTGAGATTGTAACAGCAGTAAAAACAGATTAAACTTAAAACATTTTAATGTCTCCTACAAATTGAGGTCTGACAATTCAGCAGGTATCATACCGGAGTCTGTGGATATGGCTAATTGCTTAGGAGTTCAGCAGGACACTTTGTAACCTGAGGGTTTGTGATTGACCAGAAGTTTTAAAAAAAGGCTCTGGAGATCTGTTGGGCAGTAGTGAAAACAATTAAGAGCTTTCATCACTATTCTTTAAAAGGAATGGAAAAGAAATGCTTCCTCAGAGAGCCTCAGGTGGCCTCAGCCATGGAGAACTTACCTAGGCAGCAAGAAACAAGGTCAAATATCACAGGGGAGAACAAGAGACCCAAAGTCCCCTGAAGCATCCCTTTGAAGAGAAGAATAATGAGCAAGGCTTCTTTTTCTCCTAGCTTCAGATCCAATGCCTCCCCCTGCTTATATGCTAAGGCTATTGTACCCTCTAATCCCCTCTACTCCACCTTGGCCCATCCAGGGCACTTTTCATGATGACAAATTCTAAATAAACTCTTCAGTATAAGGAAAACAAATATAATGGAAAGATTCTTGAACTGAAATCAGCAGACCTATGTGGATTTCCAGATATGACACTTACTGGATGTTTAGCTGTAAGGAAATCATTTCAACTCTCTGGCTCTCAAGTTCTGCATCTGTAAAATCAAGATAATAGTATTTATACTACCTCCAGAGGTGGAGAACCTATCAGAATGATTTTTGATGTGCTATGTCATTATTCTGTGGTTTATTGGGGTTTTGTTTTTACTGTTCTTAAATGTATGCTAAAAGAAGTTTGGCTGCATTTTCAAGTGTGTATGTATGTCTATGTGTGCTTATGTTGTACAGGTAAAGATTAGAATGAATGGTGTCCCAGATGTCTTTATCTCTGACGTGAGTATTTTTGTCTGTGTGGTGTGTACATATGTGTGGATTGTATGGTGTATATGTAAATGTATATATTTGTGTATGTATGCATTTGTGTATGTGTGTGGTATAGGTAGGGATTAGAACAAATGGTCTCACAGATGCCTTCATCTCTGAGAGAATTATTTGTGTCTGTATGGTGCATATATATGTGGTATGTTTGTATGTATGTTATGTGTGTGTATATGTATGTATTCATATGTGGGTGTAGTATAGGAAGGTATGGATTACAATGGATGGTCTCCCAGGTCCCTTGACCTCTGAGATTGAGTATTTGTGTGTATGTGTGTGTGTGTGTGCATGTATGTGTGTGTGTGTGCATGTATGTGTGTGTGTGTGTGTCTATGTGTGTGTTGAATGTACTGAACCAATTTTTGTTTTTCTCCTGTGGGATGAGAATTGTACAATTTTAATGAAATTCTTAAATACAGACACACTCAAAGGGTATGACATTTAACAAAGCATTTGCTCTCATCCTTTGCCTACAGACTGTCTCATCTATCCCCCACCTTTTATAAAAGCAAAGCAAAACCAAATGCTCACTCGATCATGCCCACTTTTAGAGTTAATATCAGTCAGTCTTCTTTTCCTTGCCAAAGTCTCAAAAAGAGATTGCTATACTCATTATCTCCAATTCCTTGGCTTCCATTCACTTCCCCAATCCCTGTAAGCTGCCTTGTTCTCTCCAAGGTAGCAATTCATCTTTGACTTGGTATATTCAATGAATTTTATCATTCATTCTTTTTCACCCCTTGGTGTGATTGATTGACAGCCCTTGCTTTTGGATATTTTCTCTTCGCTAGGCTTTTGTAACGCTATCTTCTCTTGGTTTTCCTTTCACCTGTCTGACTTGCTCTGTATGGTTATATTCCAGCACTTTGTCTTGGACCTTCATTTCTCCACACTCCTCCCTCAGAGCAAATTCACTAGATCCCATGAGTTCAATGATCATCTTTATGTAGACGACTTCCAAGTCTATATATCAAAGCTTTGTATCTCTTTCATGAACTCCCAGCCTATATCACCTACATAAGTCCACCTGGTAATCTAGCAATGTCACAATCAATATATTGACAACAAAACTCATTATCTTTCCTTTTTGGCCAATACGACCTCCTAAATGTCTATTTTTTTCTTTCCATGGCACTTCCATTCTTTTTGTTTCTAAGCTTCGAAACATTAGAGTGGACTTTACCTCTTCGTACTACTTCATCCCTCAATTCTATCTTTTGTAAAACTTTGTTGATTTTCCCTCCACAACATATCTAACATCTGTCACCTTCTCTTCAGTGTCACAATTATTCAGGCCCAAATCATCTCTTCCTTGGGACCCAAATGATTATAAAGAGCCTCCAAATTACTACTGCTGTATTTTTCTATCTCTTTCTCCTATCTGTTCTCTATCCAGCTGCAAAATGGATATTCCTAAGGCATAGAGCTGACCATACCATTTTGTGGCTCAAGAAGATTATATACATCTGGATTACCTCAAGCAAAAATAGAAATTCTCCCATTTGTTAATTAAAAGGGACAATAATCTGAATTCAAACTATCATTCCAGATTGGTTTCATATTCACTCACTGTACTTTTCAGCCAATTTGTCCTTTTTGATGTTTCTATAAATGACATTCCATGTCTTGTGTTCTTATGCCTTTACAAGAATATTATCTTTCCATGCTTTTCTATCTTAAAATCTTTAACCACATTTTCAATGATTGGTCCAAGTGCCACATTTTACATGGAGTCTTTCTTGAACTTCCAATTATCAGTGCTACTTCACCTACAAAATTGATTTATTATTTATTTTGTGTACTCTTGGTATTTGCTCACCTTTCCATATTTCTCTTCATTAAAATCCAAACACATAGAGCATATGTATTCTTTTTTTTTAATCTTTAGTAATAATGTCTGGCACGTAACAGTTTACTTAACTGACGTGAATTGAGCCTCATTTTATCCATTACATAAAGAAAGGAAAAACATTAGGTATCAGCCTGTGAACTTGAGGCTACCATCACTGTTCAAGGCCATATTCACTCTGATATATACCTATACCTGTAGATAAAACTATTAATATATAAATGTAGCTACAGCATCTCATGTCCAATTTTTATCCAATTTCCTCTTCTAGTCTTCTCTCTCAAGTGTTCTTAGGCTAGAGAGGAAATAATTTCATGCTGGGTTTCTCTTTGAGTTACATATATTGTCATGGAAGAAGCTATAGAGTGGAGCTCAAGAGCTCAAGTGCTCAGAAGAACTTGGTTTAAATTTAGACTCATGTTTAAAGTAGTTTTATGACTGAATCCTTTCCTAATTTATAAATTAGAGATATACAAGTTATGCATAAAGTTTCAATAGAATAAAAAAAGCACCAATGAAATAGGAATGATCATTATTATTATTTTAATTTATGGTATTTGTTTTTTTTTCTGCATCATGTCAGATGAACTGATTTTTTTTCCTCCACTATGTGGCTACAGAAGGAAAATACATGGAGAATATGAACAATGTGACTGAATTTGTCTTCTGGGGGCTTTCTCAGAATCCAGAAGTAGAGGAGATATGCTTTGTGGTATTCACCTTCTTCTATACAATCATTCTTCTGGGCAACCTCCTCATAATAACAACAGTCTGCACTGGGAATCTTTTCAATTCGCCCATGTACTTCTTCCTAAATTACTTATCTTTTGTAGACATTTGCTATTCCTCTGTAACAGCCCCAAAGATGATTGCAGACTTATTGGCATTTCAGAAAAGCATCAGCTATGCAGGTTGCATGATGCAACTATTTGGGGTCCACTTCTTTGGTTGCACAGAGATCTTTATTCTCACAGTGATGGCTTATGACAGATATGTAGCCATCTGTAGGCCTTTACACTACATGACCATCATGGACCGGGGCAGGTGCAATAAGATGCTGGTGGGGACATGGGTGGGTGGTTTTATCCATTCCATCATCCAAGTGGCACTGGTAGTCCAGTTGCCTTTCTGTGGCCCCAATGAAATTGATCATTATTTTTGTGATGTGCACCCTGTACTGAAACTTGCTTGTACTGATACCTATGTTGTAGGGGCTGTGGTGACAGCCAATAGTGGAGCCATTGCTCTAGGGAGCTTTGTTATCTTGCTAATCTCCTATACAGTCATCCTGGTGTCCCTGAGGAAGCAGTCAGCTGAAGGCAGGCACAAAGCACTCTCCACCTGTGGTTCCCACATAGCTGTGGTCATTATATTTTTTGGACCCTGCACATTCATGTATATGCGCCCTCACACAACGTTTTCAGAAGATAAGATGGTGGCAGTGTTTTATACCATTGTCACCCCCATGTTGAATCCCCTGATTTACACACTGAGAAATGCAGAGGTGAAGAATGCCATGAAGAAGTTATGGACCAGGAAAATCTTTCTACAGAAACAATTGGTACAATAGTAGTAACTGTTTCCTTCAATTCTTGTCAGAAATGTCAAATGTCAAAAAAATGTCAGAAATGCCTGGTTCATTATATTTCCCCTTTTTCCTTTTTCTGCTTTCTCAAACTTCATTCTTGAATCACTTATTTTAGGAGATATTGTCATTCTACCAATCACTAAGCATTTATGAAATATTTACTATGTACCAGGCACTGAAGTGTCTAGGTGGCATAGAGGATAGTGTACTCGGCCTGCAGCCAGGAAAACTCATGTTCCTGAGTTCTAATCTAGCCTGGGATACTTACTAGTTATATGACCCTGGGAAAGTCACTTTACCCTGTTTGCCTTAGTTTCTTCATCTGCAAAATGACCTGAAGAAGGAAATAGTAAACCACTCCAGTATTTTTGCCAGGAAACTCTCAAATCGGGTCATGAAGAGTCAGACATAAGTGAAATTACAGAAAGACAACCAGGCCCTGTGTGAGATTGTGGGATATGAAGATAAAAATGGATTATAGGACCATAAATTTAGAGTTGGAAGAGATATTAGGAGTAATCTCATCAAATTACTAGAACAAATGGACTCATTGGCAATGAAAAGAGAATTCTCATCTTACAGAGAAAAATAAGCCCCAGAAAGTTGAGCCAACAAGGTTTTATGAAGCTCTTACCCTGTGTTTTGCATAGTACGAAGTACAAAGGACAAAAGTAAAAATCAGAATAGTAAGTACGTCCAATGTTCTAACCATCTAATAGGCCTCAAGGGAGAAAATAAGAGATTTTCTAGTCATTTGACAATTTATTATCAGGGGCAGGATTCACGCATAGATCTTCCTGACTCAAAGGCCACAGTATTCACTGAAAACACCACATTGCATTTCTTCTCTCATAAAGAGGAACAAAAACAAAGGCAATAATATCTACCTACATTTCTAAACATTTACAAAGCTCTTTCTTCCCAACAACCTTGTGGGTCAAGGTTTATTAACGCTTTGATGCATATGAGGAAATAGGCTTGGAGAGGATAAGTAAATTCCTTAGTATCACACAGTTGCTGAGTTTCAAAGTTGTGATTTTTAACTTAGGTCAGGACATCATAGGATTTGGAACTAGGGGAAATGTAGAGATTAGCTTGTCTAACCCATTCACATTCACTGAATTTCCAAGCTGGAAGGCACCCCTAAGCCATGTATTCCTACCTGAGCCAAAACCCATTTTATAGATGAAGAATACAAGTTTCATATAGGCAACATGACTCACACATGGTCACAGAGTCCAAGATTCATACCTCATCCTGCTTAGTTCCACTCAATAGCTTTAAAAAAAAACCCCTGCATATCTGAATTAGCATCCCAAGTATAACATATTACTAAAATGGTCATGTAGACTTTGCTTTAAGACCTATAGTGATGAAGTGTCCAATCCTTACTAAGGAACTTTATTCTCCAGCTCATTTTAGATATGAAGAACCTGACGCAAACAGGGTTAAGTGAATGGTCCAGGGTAACACAGCTACTAACATTCTGAGGCCAGATTTGAACTCAGGAAGATAAGTCTTTCTGCTCCAATGTGGGAGCTCTATCCGCTGTGCCACATAGCTGCATTGTTGAGGCAGTCTATTCCACTTTATAATACTAATTGTTACTGAGGTTCTTTTCTTTCCCTAGTATAAAAACCCTAAATTCTATTCCTAGTTTTGTCCTGGGAGGAGTGGAAACAACCAGAACCATTTTCATTGATTTTGTACGTGATAATAGCTATCAAAATACTTGAAGATGACTAATAGATTTTTCTATATTTTTTACTCTTTAACAAAGTGAAAGTTCTGTATTCACATATGACGCAGTGAGGACCTTCACTATCTGGATCTCCATCCCTTGAATACTTACCCATTTATCACTATTCTTCCTAAAATGAGCTATTTATCTAGAACTGAATACCGTACTGCAAGAATGATATGAATTGGTCTAAGTATGGCAGGATTACCATCTCCTAAAATCTGGGTACACTAATTTATTTTTTTTACTTTTTTAGTGAGGAAATAGGGATTAATGACTTGCCTAGGGTCATATAGCTAGGAAGTGACTGAGGCCATATTTGAATTCAAGTCGACTTCACTTTAGGTCTGATGCTTCATCCACTGTGTCACCTAGCTGACTCCACACTCTAGTATTCTTAATGGTTATGAAGAGTCTGTCATTTGGGGATCTGGGAAGATATTTTATATAATTTATTGAAATTGAGGAAACAATGTAAAAATAGACCTTTAGAGAAACTTATAGATAGCTATCTTTTCCACATCTTATGCTTGGAAAGTTGATTTTTAAAATTCAAACATAAGTTTATGCACTTTTTTTCTGTTTCATCTTGTTTTCCCGTTAAATTGCATTCTACTAGAGTTGGACCACAGTTCTAGGCGGATGATAGTTTTCTTTGGATTCTGACTGTCACCCAGCATGGTAACCATCTGCCCTAGCTTCATGCTATCTGAAATTTGATAAGTATCTCATGCATAGCTTTATTGAAATCACTGATAAAATGCTAAACAGCATAGGACCGCGTGGTATTCTAGTTGAGATGTCCTTCCAAGTTTATATTGAACTATTGACGATTGTTCTTTCAGACTAATTATTGAACCAACACAGATATCACCAAATCGAGTTTAAACTCTCCGATTTATCCCTAAGGATAGAATAAGGAACTTTGTCAAATATTTGATATACTGTAACTTTACTCTTTCTTTGCTTCTATCAGCTCAATTACTATTAAAAAAAGCATTTAATCTTAGATCTGTTCTCAATAAAGAAATGCTATTTATATGATCATCACCTTCATTTCTAGATGATTGCTAAGCACTCTTTTAATAATGTAGTTTAGAAAGCTTTTCGTACCAACATGGTGGAGAGAAGAACTCCCTGGAGCCCTCCAAATTCCCCTCCCAACAACCTTCAAAACCACATTAGAACCAATTTTACAGCAAGTAAGCAACTTACCAGCACAGTAAGTGTCTCACAGGGGTGTGAAGGGAGCTCTGTATAGAAGGAGAGGCAGATCGCAAACCAGGGGTCCTACAGCAAACTCCTGAGCCTTAGGGCAATCCACCAACAAGGGCTAGCCCACCCACTTTGCAAACCAGCAGCCCAGGAGGCAAGCCAGCTCTCTCAGAACATCAGTGTAGCAAGGCCCCACTCTCAGGGCAGGGCCCCAGTGGGGCCTTCCCCCCATTGCTGACCAGGAGCAAGACCCTGCCCCTAGGGCTGGCCAGCAGAAAGTCCTTGTTTCCATAGCCAAATTCCAAAGCTCCCATGTCAGGAAGGCAATATTGCAAGCAGCCATAAAGAAACAATTCAAATATAGTAGAATCACAGTCAGGATTAAACAGAATTTATCAGCTTCTACATTAAAAAAAAAAACTGGAGGGCTTACAATATGATATTATAGAAGGAAAAGGAATTAATAGGACAATTGTGAATCACCAACTCAGCAAAACTGAATAAAATCTTTTTTGGAGAAAAGGATACTGAATGATATAGGAATTTCAAGCATTCCTAATTAAAATACCAGAACTGAATGAAAAATTTGGTCTTCAAATGAAAAACTCAAAAGAAATGTGAAAATATTGAAAACAAAACAAGAAAGAAAATATGATATAAGAAATTCATAAGGTTAATTTGTTTCTATTCCTTCATGGTAAGATGGTATTTGCAATTTGTGTGTGCATGTGTGTGTGTGTGTGTTGTGTGTGTGTGTGTGTGTGTGTGTGGCAATTGGGGTTAAGCGACTTGTCCAGGGTCACACAGCTAGTAAGTGTCAAGTGTCTGGTCAGAGACCAGATCTGAACTCAGGTCATCCTGAATCCAGGGCTGGTGCTCTCTCCACTGTTCCACCTAGCTGCTCCTGATATTTGCAATTCTTAAGAAATTTATCACTACAAAGTCGATTAGAAAGATATAGACAGAGGCTGCAAGTGTGAAATGACTATAATGGGATGATATCCAAAAAAAGCAAAATTAGTGTGTTAGAAAGAATATTGCACTGGGAGAAGACAGGAGAGTGGATAGAATTGAGGTAAATTATCTCACATAAAAGAGGCATGAAAGAGCTATTATAGTGACAAGGAAAATGGAGAGGTAGAGGGCAAAGTTTAAACCTCATTCTTATCAGAATTGACTCAAAGAGGGAATACTATTTACACTTGGCTGGGTATGGAAACTAACTTTCCCTATATGAAAATAAAAAGGGAATAGGAATAAGAGAAGGAGAGGACTTATAGAAGAAGGGGCAGATTGGGGGAGTGGTCATCAGAGGTAAAAAAAAAACTTATGAAGAGGGATAGAGTGAAATGTAACAGGGAGAGGGAAGGATAAAGAAGGGGAAAATAAGATAGAGAGAAATATACAGTTAGCATAACAATAAATGTGAATGGAATGAATTACCCCATAAAACAGAAGCAGACAGCAGAATGGGTTAAAAATCAGAATCCCATAATATGTTGTTTTTAAGAAACATATTTAAAATGTGGAGACACACGAAGAGTAAAGGTAAGGATGGGAGCAGAATCTATTATGATTTCACTGAAGTAAAAATTAAAAAAAAAAAGCAAAGGCAGCAATCTTGATCTCAAATAAAGCAAAAACAAAAAACAAAAAAATATATAATTTAAATATAAGGAAGGAAACTATATTGCTAAAAGGTACCATGTTAATGAAATATTATCAATACTATGGATTTCAACTTTCCACTCTTTGACCTAGAAAAATCAAACCATAAATAAACAAGAAAGAAATTAAGGAGGTAAATAAAATTCTAGAAAAGTTAGATATGATAAATCTCTGTAGAAATTTGATTGGGAATAGAAAGGAATACTCCTTTTTTCTCAGAAGTACATGGCACTTACACAAAAATTGACCTCACAACCAAATGCATAAAAGCAGAAATATTAAATTCACCCTTTTCAGATCATAATGAAAAAAGAAAAAAAAACATTTAATGAAGGGACGGTGAAGAGATAAATTAAAA